CCCTCCGCACTCCAACCGACACACACCTTAACACCTACCACCTGGTAACAGAATACTACCGAACAACCCGCCGGGTCCTGCCCCCTCCGCATCGTGCGCTATCCCGGGCAGAGGCAGCGGACTGGCGACAACTTCAAACGTTTACGTTCACTAACCTCCACCAGCGACATCGCTGGTTCCCCAACCGGTACCCAGGCACCTGTCCGGGATGTGGCAGCGATCACCCTAAACCTGTACCTCTCCATCTGGGAATGCCTTCACCCCCTCGGTGAGGGTATCACCCCATTCCTTCCCCCACCTTTTCCTCCTGGGAGGCGGCCCTTTCCGGCACAGAGCTCGATGACCAGCGGCGACTGGTTGAGCGAGCTCGCCGAATCTGGGCGGCCAACGGAGCCCTGGACTAAGGGCACCGACCAGAGACCGCAAGGTCCTTTCACTTTATCAATTAATAAAGTTTACGATGATGATGATGTTACGTAAACCCATAAGCCAGGGTCAGACAGTCTGCATACAGATCCGAACACGAGTCACTGCGAGATCCGTGCTTCGAATGCCGGATGGGAATGAGTTCAAGGGAGAAAATAGGCACGCGGCAGTCGAACCAAGGACATTGCGGTGACTCGTTTTTGCAGACTGTCTCTTGTATGATGCAGGAGCAGTGGGACCCCGGCTGTAAGGTAAAAAGGACTCTGAGAACGACAACCGCGAAGGAGAACGAAAAAAAAAAGAGTGCTCAACGAAAGTGGCGAATCCACAGCTCTGTTCACAACCCTATGCAAAAAAAAAAAAAAACTACAATAATAATAATAATAATCTTTATTGGCTCAAGCTAGACGAGGCCCGCGATGCCACGTCTAGTGATGGTGATTATTATATGATATATACAAGGGGAATCACGTAAACGTCTTTTATTTACTAAACTGCAAATCCCTCGTCATTGTAACAACACATCTGTCTAATATACTTGTCGTAGATGAACCCAATGAAGCCTCTCTGAATACGCTCAATAGAACATGATGTAGTGGGCTTGATACAATTGCACACGGTGGGAGCAAACTCCAGTTTTGTGCTCAACAGGCTGCCAAATGAACGCACAAAGGCAAGCAGAGAAAGAAAATTTTCGCGTGAAACGTGATATCACCCCGAGATCCCGAGGAGAGGCGCTGCGGATACTTGAAACGCGATGATTAAAATTTGAGGATGCATTAGACGAAAATGCCAAGGTCGCGAATGAACGACTCAGATCGCGTGTTTCTTATATGTTTGGTGGGATTTGCATTTTACTCATACTTCGCTTCATCATAACTCAGAGGGCAGCCGAAAAATAGGACGCCTGCAAATCCGGAGACATTTTGCTAACAGCGAAAGGTCACGGGTTCTTTTACAACGCCGTGACATTCGGATTTTGGCGTTGCTCGATGAGCCCCATGGACTCGACGGCTGCGCTCTATAAGACATCAAATCAAATCAAATCAAATCGAATTTGGGGGTTTTACGCACTAAACCAACGACAAGTATTTGGCAGGCAATAGTGGAGGACTGAGGATTAATGTCGGCCACCTGGGGATCGCTCGGTTACACGGCGCATTCTCCCGAATCGGGCAGCTCGACCGGGATTCGAACCCGCCACCTGGGGCCATAGGCCGGCGCTTTGCCTCGGAGCCACCGAGGCGGCCTCAATGAAGCGTAGTAACAAAATATCATAAACGTTGATAATAAAGTTCGTCATTGACTCAGATGTAACGCTTCTAGCATGACAAAAAGTAAGCATGCGTACATGTTAACTTAAGAATATATGCTTATGTAATAAATTAATGTGCAAAAATCATGATTCATTCCACTCAATGAAGGTGAATCACAAGGGAATCTGTTTAGCACACGACAGAGAACCGCCCTGAGGAACCGGAGGACAGTAGACTCGCGCGATGGGACCGCCACCCGGCGGAAAGTAGACACGCGCGACGAGACCGCCACCCCGGGAGAGCGGAAGGAAAGAAAACTGGGCGCGCAAGCGCTTAGAACGACGACAAAGAGAGAGCGGTGCGAGCGTAGTTATGGCCGACGCGGGTCGCGTAGTGGCAAATGTTTGAGAAACCTTTCTTATCTACCTGAGAGACTACTGATCTTGAAAATGGTGCCTATTGATCACTAATCGACTGTGAATGCATATCAAAGTGACATGCAAGCTCGGGACCTGAGTTTTTGTTGACGCACACGAAACATCCACGGAACCCTAGCCATAAACAGCTTCGCTGTAAATAATTTTTTAAGTGTTCTACCACGTTTGAGTGCACATAAAACACGCGAACAAGTTACCAAGCTTCGTTCGTCATGCCTAGTTAAAATTTTACAATTTTTTACACTGGTTAAGGCGATACCCTGGTTCGTTTCCTTTTCTAAACAATAGCTGTTTGTGAAATTAATAATTATAATAATAATAATGGTGATAACATTTATGAAAATTGTGGCTGAACTTTCCTACAAAGAACAAACACGCTTCAGACACTGTCTGCCGACTGTTTTTTGTACGATGCATGGGCAGTGTTACGGCGGCCGAAGATACCACTTAGGCGGAAGTAGCTGTTTCAAAAGCCGGAGGCTGCGGATTGTCTCGTAAACGCGGGTGCCTGGCGGAGGCCATCGTCCCGCGGGAAACACAGTCGACGGGTGTCGTTCAACTTGGCGCCTTATTGCGAGAGGCGGACGTACTATTTTGAACGAGCCGAGCCCGGGGACGCGGCTTTCCTCATCTTTCGTTCAATGCTGTCCCCAAACACACACACACGCACACACAGGCACAAAAAGACAAAACGTTGTTGGCCAACAATACACTCAGAGGAAGGAAGAGGGGAGAGAGAAGACAGCGATTGAAAACGCAAAACAAAACAACACAAAAAGTTGTCCCCATACCGCACGTTACTCAGTTGCAATGCACCGTGAAGCAGGCGCCAATTTGAGGCCACGGCATTCCGCCAACTCCGATGACCGCGATTGAAATAACACAACTCGCAAGATTACAAAGTTTCTCTTGTGTGTGTGTGTGTGTGTGTGTGTGTGTGTGTGTGTGTGTGTGTGTGTGTGTGTGTGTGTGTGTGTGTGTGTGTGTGTGTGTGTGTGTGTGTGTGTGTGTGTGCGCGCGCGTGTGTGTGTGTGTGTGTGTGTTTTGCCATGGTGCGCGTTGCAAGGTGGTTTAGCGTAGATTGTACTACCCCGCGCTTCTATGGTCCACTATGGTCTACTTGCGTGACGTAGTAATGTTTACAGATGTAGAATACAACGAGGTATATGTATAAGAAATAAAAATAGAATAGATGGTTTAATATTGCGGTAGTAAACATGTGTGTTATGAGATAAAAGAACAAAACGAACAGCACTGTTGGTAGTCTTCTGAAAATGAACACTTTCCGGGAGGCAAGCAAGTCAACTAAAAGACCTGACCCACGCCGGATACATCTAAATTAAAAATACAGGGTGTCACAAAAAAATTATTTACAAATTCTTTTTTACCGCAAAAATAAACTAGGCCTCGCCGAAGGCTCATTCTCCGCCCAAAGGTAGCGCTAGAGGTCACAACCAGATGCCAAAGTTTCAGCCCGATCCCATACCTTATTCAAAAGTTTTAAGTGATTTTCTGAAAGTTTCAATGGGGAAATCGAGCCCATTTTCGCCCGTTTTCGGTTTCTGGTGCTATAGATCCCTGTGTATTCGAAAAGTCCGTCGGCCACCATTTTTCGATTGAAAGTTTCAAAAAATCACTTATAACTTTTGATTAAGTTATCGGATCGGGCTGAAACTTTGGCATCTGGTTGTGACCTCTAGCCCTACCTTTGGGCGGAGAATGAGCGTTCAGTGATGCCTAGTTTATTTTTGCATTAAAAAAAAAGAATGTGTAAATATTTTTTTTTGACACCCTGTAGTCCCAGTCAACATTCTATAGAATGGCAATCGGGGCATTTTGTCCTAGGTTTTTATGCGCTCTCGCTGCATGTAAATATGCCCTAAAGACCGGTTCAGACACTTGCGTTTGAGTGCGTTTGACTGCGTTGCGTCGAGAACCGAAAGCGAGTCACCGGCACATCTGTGCTTCGTATGAAGCGTGGAATCCAAATCAAGGAATCGTCTTGGCACGCGATAGAAGCAGCAGAGAGTTCCTGGTTTCTCGCAGGCGCAACGCAGTCAAACGCAGTCAAACGCGACTGTCTGAACCAGGCTTTAGAAGGGCAAGGGCGGTGATGTCAGAGAGAACGCCTAAAGCGGGGTTACACTACTTATACATCATACGAAAGACAGTCTGCAAACAGATTCGTTCGCATGTCACCGCGAGATTCGTGTTTCGAATTCTGCATGGCAACTAGTTCAACGTGAAATTCGCCACGCGGCGTTCGAACCCCGGATATCGCAGTGTCTGATGTCTGCGCACCGTCTTTTGCATGATGCGAGAGCAGCGTGACCACGTTTTTAGGGTCAGCGTATGCAGCTGACGCCTAGCGGCGCATGCAGTCCATCTACATGGTGCGTACCGTTAACACCGAGCGAAGCCCACGCGAGGGAAGGTTACAGAGTAAAAGCTACAAGCAGAAACACGTAGCCGTGAGGACCGCATGCTTCCTCACTTCGCACGAAATTATCCGTGCGGTGAAGACACCCTTCAGAACTTTGAGCTTACGTTTCTTATCGGTGTCTTTTGAAATTCCGCCTCTAATGGGTGTAATTTATGAAAAGACGCAAGTACGCCTTCGTAGCACTGTCTACAAATAGCCTCCTGCGATGTGTATACGGGTAGTAGGCATGCGCACTAGACGAATTTACGAGCAGCGCGACTAATGCGCATGCGCAGTGCCCATACTCGTTCGTTCGCCGAAGGACATGCTTGTTTCTGAACAGAACAAACTAAAACCAATATAAACATTGCACAATCATCGATCCCTACTCTCTCTAAAAAAAAAGACATATATATTGCAGCCGAAAAGACGCTGAGACGGCGTTTTCGTTCGACTCACCGGTCGGAGAAGATCTTCAGAGGGGGCAACATCCAAAGGAAAGCCACAATCTCGCACCACGGTAGGCGGACAGTCGGTGCAGGGCACGCTAGCGCACCGGTCGGCGGAGTGTGTCCCAGCGTCTGGTTTGTCCGCCCAGAGCACGTGCGAACGACAGTAAACAAGCGGCCGGATCCTCGGCGTCGAAGAGTGAGCAGCGAGCGACGACCGCCTTCCTGCTTCGAGTGGGCTCTTGGGCCTCAATGAGCGGTATGCGTGCAACTCGCGTCCGCGGGGCGGCGCTGCAGCGGGACGTCCTCAGGTCCGCCGCCGTCGTCTACGTACACTCGGCGGTCTTCCTCGTGCGCCGTACTCGTGCGGCCTGCGTCCCCCCGCCGCGACCAGGATTAGAAGAAGAACGGTTGTTCCTCTGCTCCTCGTCTTCCCGCCGCCGCCGCCGCCGCCGCCCGTTTTCTCCCCCGTATCTTTGGGGGTGTTTTCTTTTTTTGCTGTTTGTTTATGGTTTGGAGGGGGCCGGCCGCGCTTTGAGTGTCGACGGTGGCGGTTTTTGCGCGAGGGATTGCTGACCTTGCTGCAGGCCATTTTGCGGCTTGGATGTCAATATGAGGGACTCTGTCGGTGTGCGTCTATTTTATTGCACTGATGCGAACGCGTGCCGCTCACCTTTGCTTGGACATGTAAATTTTAATTGTTTTTCTTTTTAATGTTTTTGTTCTAATAATTCCGTGGGTATTTCAATAGGTGTCGAAAAGCAACTTCTATTTTACTTTTTATTTTCTGTTTTGTGGACTTTAGATAAAATTTAATAGAAAACAAAATGGGGGGGGGGGGGGGGGGGGGGGGAGAGATTGTGGGAGCCGCTTTTCTGTTAGCGCACCGCTTGATTGGAAAGCAAGTTCGTAGCACGCTGTACGCTCCACTGATTTTAAACGAACATTGGGCGCGCGAAATATACGTATCAGCATTATATTTAGTTTTCTTTTATAAAACATGGTCGATATGTGTAAAATTTAAAACAAAGACGTCATGATATAAAGCCGCCTTATCGTGCATTTGTTATTGTTCGTCGTTTGCCGCCAACGTTTCGGCAGTAAACAAATAATAAGCGTTTTTTTTTTTTTTTTGAGTGGCCGATGTGTTTGTGTGCCGCTCCGCTGAACGGTTAAGATCTGCGTGGCCATTTGTTTACCTAACGGTCGGAACGCGTGTCGCCTTCGGAGGGACCTGCTTGTTCTGCTCTGTCAACGCGCGTCTTCTTTGCCAAACTGCCAGTTTGCGTGGGACCGCGCCTTCTCTTCGGCCCTTCCTCACACTTGGAGCTCGAAAATAGCCGGACCCATTCAACGACAGCGGCAGCACGCGTAGCTTGTTTGCCCGCGACCAGTTGTTTCGAAAAGCGGGCCACATTGTAGACAGTCTTCCCTTAATGATTTGCGTTCTCTCCTCGATGTACCGCTGGATAAAAATGCCGCGACACAGTGTAAGCAATGTACGAGCTATTTTGGGACCGCTTTCGCGAGGACGTCCTTTGCCTGTATTGACTTCGGGGTGAGTGAATTCGTCCAGTATGCTTAGCTCGTGTGGGAACTCACGTGTGAGGTCACTCGTAACGTTTTACGCCGTGCTTCTCAGACTCGAAATACGCCTAATTTAGCTCGATCACTCGACATACTACTGTCGTTCTTGCAGTTTAGTTTATATCAGGACACTTGTCTGATTTGGCCTGTTATTAAAGCTAAGACACGTGTGAAATACAAAAGAAAAAAAAGCGAAAATTTCGCAAACTTTTGAACAATAAAAACGTAGTCCTGCAGTTAAAAAAATGCTACTTGGGTATTTGCGGTAAAAAAACCTGCGAATATGATTGTAATAATAGAATATGTGCGAGTTGCGTGCAATAAATAAACAAGTTTCTTCCTTTTTTTGTAATTAGGGTAAATGAGTTTTGCACGTTCCGGATTTTGTTTGAGATTCAGTTTGCTCTTCGCACGTGTGTTCTCGGTTTTAGATCACCTGTGTGCCTCGCGCGATACTTCGAGTCTTACAACTAAAGGAACTGGAAGGACTAATAAACTAATGTGCCACGTACCTGTGTTTTTTATGTTGCATACAAAAAAAAAACTACATTAATTTATTGCACTTCACAAAAACAATATTCGGGAGCACCGGGCAGACTGTCTGTGTTCGAGCAATGAATTTATGCACACGAGTCTCTTTACTTCCACGGAAAGTCTTGTCGTGAAAACTCTGGTAAATTATACACACTTTTTCTACTTTTTTTTAATATTTTTATATCAGGCGAGGGTACAAAAAAAAAACTTTTCTAACTTTTGCGAAATGCTGAATCCTTGAAGTCCTCAACATACGGAATGCGCATTGAGCCTGGGTCAGAATGATAATACCTCGTGCAAAAGACAGCCGGCAGACACTGTCTGTGAGGCCTTCCTTGTATGAAGGGCCTCTCACAACAATACTACCAAACGTTGTCTGCAGACACGTTTTAAGCGTAGATGTGTATAAAGCAAACATACTTCAAACATATCCCTGCGGCGTGTCCGCAGGTAATTCACTAATCGTGTGTGCTGCAAACGTCGTGTCTTTTTGTATACTGTATAAACAGCGTGACTTCTGCACCTGGAACGCGCCCTGGACTGGTGCGTTACCGCGTCCAAAAATTTTGCCTCTCGATTTCCGTCTGATGACGTCATAAAAGTATCATATTGTCGTCGGCCGCGATCCTGGCGGTGTCACTCCTCCCAGCAGCGGTGGTCGATGTGGCAGACGCCTGTTCTGTTGCGGGTCGTCCATAGAGTTTTTTTTTTTTTTTTTTTTTTTTCAATACCCTCAGGGCTTAGGGGCATTACAGGGGGGGGGGGGGGGGGGGGGGGGCGGGCATAAATATTGGCTCTGTATAAAGTTCAAACAGCAAGGCAACTTGGTTATCAATGTTAGTACGGCATAATCCTAGCAAAAGTGAGTAGCTGGAGCTTTTCTAAATAAAACTATTGATGGAATAGTTACTAATGATGCGGGAAGGTGGTTCCATTCAGATGACGTTCTAGGGATAAAAGAGTTGATGTAAGCTGAAGTTTCGCATTGAGGTATGCCAACTTTGAGTTTGTGATCAATGCGGGGAGAAATGAAGGGGGGGGGGGGTGCTAATGGATAGTTTGTTTTTCAGTGAAGCGTTGGAATGATAGATTTTATGCAAAAGGCATAGACGAGATATTTTCCGACGTGAGGAAAGAAAAGGCAGGGCTAGGGTGGTTTTCATAAATGAGATACTTGCGGTGCGATGATAGTTGCAGACTATGTATCGTGCGGCGCGATTTTGCAGGGCTTCGATGTTTGTTATAAGCGTTGAATGACCTGGATCCCAGATTGCTGAGGTACGCTAGAGGCTCAAATGGCGCTAGTGTGCTGTACATTTAATTTGTGCTCGGGTATACTGAGAGCTTAGGCGGACGTTCGGGTTGGACGTCGTGTCCAATAACTGCGGAAAAAAAAAAGAAAAAAAAAAAGAAATGTCCGAGCTCTAACAATGGATCAAGCGCGGCACGCACAATCTGCATCTCCAAACCCGGGACGAAGCTATATGATGTATATACCGAGAGCTTCCGAGAAAAGAGAACCGCGTTTTTTGGGCCCGGGTGAACAAACTATGCATCGCAGGAAGCTCAGACTCTGTGACAATGTGACGCTAGCGGTTTGGGTAGAACTCGACAGTTTTGAGAATGTGACGTTACCTGGATCAAAAGATAATTGAGACAAACTGAATTTCTCTATGAGCCGACGTCCACTTAAGCGTAATATCGTCAAAACAAGAAATGACGCTGTAAGCGCGTGTGGAATTTATACAAGTTAAATATATATATATATATATAATATATATATATATATATATATATATATATATATATATATATATATATATATAGATATATATATATATATATATATATATATATAGAAACAGCACCTGGGAACAAAAGACGGCACTCGAGAGAAATATGCTCAACAAAATATTAGCCCTTAAGGGAGTTAGCCGAGGAGGTTCCCAAAAAAGTGAGATTGATGATCTCACTTTTTTGGCAACCTCCTCGGCTAACTCCTTTAAGGGCTAATATTTTGCTGAATATATATATATATATATATATATATATATATATTGTCAGCAAGAAAGAAAATATTGTTTTTTTTTCTAACTAACAAATTCTTTTTTTTTTTTTTTTAAATCTGAAATAGATGCAAAGGCCGCCCGCAATGTCACTTCTTGTTTTCACAATATTACGCAGAGCTGTAAACGTCGGCTCATAGAGAGAAAAAAAAAAAAGTTGTTTCTCAATTCTTTTGATTCAAGAAACGTCATACTCTCAAACTTTCGCGTTCTGTTCCAACCGTTAGTGTCACATTCTCACTGAATTTGATCTTTCTGCATTACAAAACTAATTCACACCAGTCAAAAAAAAAAAAAAAGAACATTTTTTTTTTTTACATGAAAAGGCCCTCTCTCTAAAAATTTTTTTTTTTTTTTGGGGGGGGGGGGGGGGGATTTCCGGAGGATGTGAACGCTGTTCAATTGCTTGAGATTCCTTCAGCAACAGCTATGAGAGAAAACCTAATGTCTCAGTCCCATTACGGTACTTGGAACGGGTTTCCGACCGGTGCGTTTAGCGTCCTAGCTATTCTGTCCATGCATCGAACGTTGTCCCAAGGTGGCAACAAAGGACGTCGCAGAAGCCGGAGTGTCATGCTGTCGTATGTCCCAATCCGGTGGCTGGCGAGCTACAAGTCGCGGCAAAAAAAGACGAGCGAACGCGAGTGTCGTTGTCGTCGCGGCGTTCCAACCCCTGGCTGCTGCAGCTTCCGCGGACTGTCCAGCTGGAGAGCGACGCATCAAGTTATTATAATGTACGCTAGAGGTTCAACTGGCGCTAGGGTCCATGCGACTTCCGGGAGGCAAATTGAAGCAGACAGAAAACGGTTTACTTTTGCGGTGCTCCTGTACATTCGTAGGAAAAAAATGTACTTGCATTCTGTCTCTTCGCCGGAAAATAACATAGAATAGTTTTGTTATCTGGGTCGTACCGAATAGTACGTACCTTTATTCACATTGTAAAAGTGTGATTGTTCTAGTTAGCGCACTCTTCTTCATCAGTGAACGATGTTTAACTTCGCTATATTTCAGGCCCAATTACCTGTGTTCCACAACAGGTGTGTAAAGCAAACGACGGTTCTAAGCAAAATAAAATCGAAAGTAATGTAGAGTGTGTTCAAGATTCGCCAGCATTCCGGTGGCGCTTACATACTGCTAATATGCCAGTCCTGTCACTATATGAAAATGAGCCCGTCTTGCATCTTTACGAACGTTTAAAAAACATTCATGACGTAA